ATACATTATCCCCTTTTTTAATGTTTGCAGTATCTTTAAGTGAATATTCAACAGTGGTGGCAACAACAGGTAAAGCAGCGGCTTGTTCAAAGGTAAATCCTTTTGGAATCTTACACAACAAGTTTGAATCGGTGGTTACATAAGTTTTTAAACACCCAGGAGCGATACCGAATACATTATCACCAACTTGAATATGTTTAACACCTTCTCCGACAGCAACAACTATACCAGAACAATCACCACCGGGAGGGCCAGGATCACCAGGATATAATCCCATAACATTCAAAACATCTCTAAAGTTTAATCCAATTGATTTCACTCTGATTTCAACAGTATTTGCAGGTGGATTTACTCTTTCAGATTGTGGTTGTGGCTTGAATTTTAGGTTACCAATTGCTCCTCTCGATGACATAGATAATTTAACTGCTCCAAAAACAGGAAAATTAATACTTTCTAACCTCGGAGCATAAATACCATCATCAGAAATTTTTAAATCCCTTTCCAATGCAATTTCTTCCTTAATATTTCCATCATAAGATGAAGTTATTAAACTTATTGTTTTCATTAGTGCTTCTGGGTCATTTACCAAACTTGACTTACAATCCACATGAGAAATATTGATTGATTTTCCTATTACATTTTCAAGTTCAACTCGAGCAGTTTTAACAAAACCTCTTATTCCCGAATGCCTGGGAATATTAGGATTTTCTTCACAATCATTAAATGAAGTTAAACAAATAAATGGGGGAGTTTTTATCGATACAGCAATTGTTGAGATTACCTGTGATATTTTTAAGATGTCGCCCATTACTTGTTTAGTTGAAAGACTATCCGCTAAACCACCCAAATAAAATATTGCAGAGAAACCTTCTTCCTGTATACTCTGGTCAATCAGGTCAATTGTAAGATCTTCTTCTAAACAAATAAATTTAGTGGACATATTTTGGTATTTTTTACTTATTGTATCACAAATCAATTCCTTAATTGTAGTTGGTATTCCAAAAATAAGGATTTTTTGTATTAGGCCACCCTGGTCTGTATCTTCTATATTCACTTCTTTAACTTGGTCATTGCCATTTCCTAGTTCAGATGTATTGTTCGTTTCAACAAAATTAGGATTATCAGCTATTTTTTTGTGATATGTTTTCCATAGAAGTTGATTTGGAATTCTGACTTCTTGGGATAGTAGTGATGCTGCATTTGAAAATCCTTTTAAAATTAGATCTTGAAAATGTGCTGCTAAGATATTTGTTTTGCTGTCCCATAATGTTACATCAATAAATGCAATGCTTCCTGTTTTCTCAAATCTATTTAGCTTCACCAAACCCCAAACATCAGAGTTATGTTGTATCCTTCCATACAAACATTTAGTGAACCCAATGGGGGCCATTGCAACATGGCCTCTTTTATTATTTGTTACATCTTTACCTTTCAATAACTCTTCTGAGGCAAACAATACCGAGGCTGCCTGGAATACTGAATCAAGCATTCCGGGGTGGATCCTAAGTTCGGTTAAATCGAAATCACTTGCAGGTCTTTTTACATAACACAGTACTTCATTTAATTGAGTACTTTCAGCATTCTTATTTTTATCATCAGTTGTATTATCAATTTGTATCTTTACTGATTTCAAACATTGATAATTCGTTTGATACTGAAGACCAATTTCGTTCATCATTTCATATATATTATCTATAGGGATTTCCATAACATCTTTTGACGAATACTTTTTCAAGTAGTCTTCTAAATTAGGGATACAGTGGGAATCTACTTCATCTTTACTAAGTATTCTAGAGTTTGAAATTGATGCATGATGATAAATTCTACTATTGCTAAATGCGACATCATTAGCAATAATTTGTGGTCCAGAAAATTCTTCTTCATACTCAAATGCCTCGGAAATACATTTTTTTCTTATTTGAATCGACCCACTTTTCGCAAAAAATACCTCCATTTCAGACGTAGTTTCATCTTGATTTGATACCAATGGTTTTTCAATATCCATCGAATTCAATTCAACATATTTGGATGGGAATTTTTCGGATTTATGTAATTTAAATGCCGCACATGCAGATGCCTCAATCAATGCAGCTGCGGGAATAATATTTGTGTCAAAAATAATATGGTCCTCCACAATATTTTTAAATACTTTAGATTTTAGCATATCGGTGGAATACGCAAGATAATTTTCATCAGAAATTGATGAATAAAACCTTCCCAAAAGGGGATGCACAGATGTCAAGTCTGCCCAATGGAACCTAGAATGGTTCCATTTGTGAATGCAAACATTTTCTGAGATATAATTCATGTATTCCTGAGCAACTTTATAAACAGCATTGAAATCTAAAATATTTGATTTTGAGTTATCAATTGTTGGGATCCATATTAATTCATTATTAGAAATTTTTTCGGTCGAAGTTTGTGGCAATTGAATTCCTCCCAATGCCTGTTTACCCATTGAAGTAAGAATAGATTTGGGCCCAATCTCAATAATTGCGATGTTTTCTTCATCTGTAGAAGCCGCAGTTTCAAGCGCATCGTAGTATCTAACAGAATGTAGAATATGTTGTGCCCAATATTTATGTTCTGTTAGCAGTTTAGATTCAATATTACCAGTTACAGAAGAAATAAATGTTATTTTTGGCTCAGAAAATTGAATTTTTTCGATAACTTTTTCGAATTGTTCCTCAGCAGAACTGACTAAAGGAGAGTGGAATGCATGAGAAACATCAAGTTGTTTATATCTATCTTCCATACCTAATTGGTTCAAAATTTGCATTACTGAAGTTCTACTTCCTGAAATTGTTACACTTTTTGGGCCATTTATTGCAGCTACTGCTGCAGAATCCTTCAAATTCAATTTCTCAATAGACTCTAATACTTGTTCTTCAGAAACTCTGCAGGCAACCATTATTCCATCATTCTGAGGAAGGGATGCCATAATTTCTGCTCTCCTTGCAACTAAAACAATTGCATCTTCTAGGCATAAGACCCCACTAGTGACTGCTGCAGCAAATTCTCCAAGACTATGACCCATAACTGCGGATGGAATTATACCCTTGGATTCCCACAGTTTAGTTAGCGAATATTCAATTGAAAATATTGCAGGTTGAGAAATTGACGTATGATTTATTAATTTCTCATTCTCCAAAGTTTGTTCACAATATATTGTTGATATTAATGATCTGCCCAAGATTGGATATAGAAGCTTATTGCATTTATCCATTTCATTTCTGAAAACTTCCTCTGTATCATATAAGTTTTTACACATGTTTATATATTGACAACCTTGACCAGTGTACGCGAAAATTAAGTAAGGGTAATTTTTATCTTGGTTGTTTTCAGTAATCAACTCTGTATCAGAGGCAGATTCTAATATTACATGAGAATTACATCCTCCAAATCCAAATGAACTTACTCCCCCAACTAATTTGGGCTTATTAGAAACAATGGCTTTTAACTCTGTCGGAAATTCAACATCAAAATTTTCAGTGTCAATATGAGGATTAAGTTTTTGGAAATGCAATATTTTCGGTGCAATACGGTTTTTCAACACCAAAATTAACTTGAGTAATCCCGAAACACCTGCGGCACCCTCGAGATGACCAATATTTGTTTTTAAAGCTCCCAGAATAAGAGGCTGATTTCTCTTAAAATCCTTTTTGTTTCCAAAAACCGCTTTTAAGGCACCGAACTCTATTGGATCTCCAAGAGGAGTACCTGTACCATGAGATTCTAAGTAATCAATATCATTAGGAGTTAATTTAGCATTTCTTAAAGCATTTTGAATGACTTCTGTTTGTGAGGGTCCATTTGGAGCTGTGAGACTTGCAGATCTTCCATTATGATTAGTTGCCGATCCCAAAACGTATCCAATTGGCCTGATCTTCTTCCCACCTACTTCCAATCTTTTAGTTAATAAAATTGCACCGCATCCTTCTCCTCTAACATATCCATTTGCAGCAGCGTCGAATGTTTTGCATCTACAATCTGGAGAAAGCATTCTTGCACGGCAAAAGGCCACGAATAGGTGTGGGCTTAACATTAAGTTTACTCCTCCAACTAACGCAGTATGGCAAGAGCCTTCTTTCAATGACTTCAGAGCTGCATCCATCGCAACAAGAGATGAGGAGCATGCAGTATCTATAGTTTGCGAAGGCCCTCTAAATCCAAATGAATATGATACTCTATTTGAAACTAGAGAGCTTGCACCACCAGATCCAGTATAAGAAGTAAAGTTTTCAAAACCAAACTTTGCCTGAAGGAAGTGCCAATCAGTATTACAACAACCTATGAAAACCCCCATCAATAAAGGATCCTCAATGCCAGTTTTAGTTGTTTTTTTAATGTTAGTTAGAGAGCGTTTTGTAATTCCACAATTATACATTGCTTCGTATGCTACCTCCAACATGTATTTTTGTTGAGGATCAACATTAGTAGCCTCAGTTGATGAAAGACCAAAGAAAGTATTATCAAATAAATCAATATCAGTTGTAAATGCGCCTTGGTTTACATAAGATTTGCTTCTATTATCTGGGTCAGGATCGTAGTATACATCAAATGGCCACCTATCCAATGGGATTTCTGTGATACAGTCTTTTCCCTTGAGCAAAATATCTTCATAAAGATCGTTGAAAGACCTTACTCCCCCAGGAAGTCTACAAGAAACACCAATTATTGCAACAGAATACTCTCTTTGTGAGATGCTTATCTCTAGATCTGTAAATGTGTCATAAGTTTCTGAAACATATAAAGAGTCTGTTAAGTGCTGGATAATTGATCTCAATGTTGGGTAATCAAATAATGCTGTCGAAGAAATCTTAATTCCAAACCTCGAAATTAGTGCATTCCTTAACTCAATTGCTGACAAGGAATCCATTCCAAGTTCTGAGAATGGTGTATCTAAATCGAGAGATGATGATTGTATTCCAATTATCTGCTCAACTATATTATGTACTGAGTCTTTAACAAATGAGTACACTTCTTCTTTACTCATCCCTCTAAAATCCATTCCACTATTTTTGACTTCCCCAGTAGACATCAGTGCAACCACTTCTTTGAAAAATGATGGATATTTTGAGTTACAATATAATTGACGCATATAGACATTCCAATTAAATGATTGGCAAGTGATCACTGGGTATTTCCCAAGTGAACTCTTATTTGAGCTAATGTTTTGATATAGCATTATATCATTAATTACTCTTATACCCATTTCATTAGATATTCCGTGCATCCCAACTTTTTCCAAGTGTTGTTTTATATTAACTGCCATTCCTTGTTCGATCCA